TTTGCTCCTTGAACTTTGTACATGGAGTTTATGGAGCAAATACCAAAGTTCACAGTTTGCAAGCTCCGACAGGCTGGAAAGTGAGTGGTGATCTCCAGGTCAGACATGGCGTCGAACCCTCAGCTGGTGCAGGAGATCCTTCAGGACCCGGCCCCAGAAGGGACGGGGCGGCCAGGCCCCCCACGCCCAGCCACGGCCTCCCTCACTCACCAGAGCCAGGCTGCAGGGCTGCTGGCTTCCCCAATCCCCACAGCCCGGGCGCCTTGTCCTTGGCCGCCGGCCCCTCCAGAGTCTCCCCGCTGCTCGTGTCGCTGTCCTCCTGACCTGAAACAACACATACACTCCAGGCGCCCACAGTGCACAGAGCCAGCAGCACACCTGGACAGGGCTCATCACCTCCACCTGGGTCTCTACCCCAAAGGGCTTTGGCTCAGAAAACTGCTTCCTTTTGTAGTTTGTCCTGAAATGAGGCACTGCTCCCCACCGGCACCTGCCCTTCTCCATCTGTGCAACCAAAGAGCTCGGGATGGAAAAGTCCTTCCCACGAGTGCTGCATGGTGACCACGTGCCACCCTCACAGATGAGACCTCAAGATGTGTTTCTGGGTCCAACAACAGCGTCAAAGCTCACAACACCACCTCCCTGCTCCTCTCCAGCAGTGTTACTGACAGTGTGAGCGAGCACCACACAGGGAGGTTCCCAACCTGTGTGAGGGGCCGTCGGACTCGCGGGGGGCTCCACCTCACTTGCGAGGACCCCATGTCTGCTGGCAGGCAGAGTAGGGACCGGGCCTCGCAGCTGAGGTGCAGCACCCCTGCCGGGTCCCGAGATCTCTGCACTGTTTTTGGACCATAATGAGGTAGAAAAGCAAATACAAGCAAAAGTTTACTTAAAACCAACAAACAGGAAAAGCACTAGCCCAAGGGGGGGAACCACGCAACTCCAGCAGAGCCAAGAATAAAAACCAGAGACACACAAGCCACGAGGCGCCAGCCGTGTGGCCTGCAGGTGCCTGGATGCTGCTGTGACCGGCACTGGAGCTTCTCCGTGGCCCGGGGACGTGGGACGAAGCCGTGCACAGGAGGCTCGGTGGGGGCATGCCGGGGGTCGCACTGGGACGGGCCCCCACACGTGCCTGCACACCCCAAGCTTCCGGGGCAGCGGCCGCTCTTTGCTCGGAGCTCAGAGGGCCCCAGCTGCCCCTTGCGTGGAAATTCAAAATGAAATGAAAGTACCAGGAGGAGCAGGGCAGGGCACGGCAGGCGGCTGGCAGGGGGTGGCCAGAGTGGGTCTCCTCCTCCCAGAAGCTGCAGTGGGGGCTCTCTGACCAGAGGCACTGGAAAAGAGAGAGAGAGACCGGCCGCTTGGACTTTACGGGACGCCCCCGTCGCCGAGGCCCCGGGGGGGCTCACGGATGTGCTGGAGGCCAGCAGAGCCGGCACAGGTGGGCTGCAGGGGGCACACACCGAGCTCAGACCTCAGACACCTTCCTCTCCCCCGTCTCTCTCTCTCTCTCTCTCTTTTTTTTTTTTTAAAGATTTTATTTATTTATTTGACAGAGAGAGAGAGACAGCGAGAGAGGGAACACGAGCAGGGGGAGTGGGAGAGGGAGAAGCAGGCTTCCCGCGGAGCAGGGAGCCCGATGTGGGGCTCGATCCCAGGACCCTGGGACCATGACCTGAGCCGAAGGCAGACGTCCGATGACTGAGCCACCCAGGCGCCCCTCCCCCGGTCTCTTGCACCCGCTGCCATCCCCGTGGACATGGCCACTGGCCGTAGCCGGCGGCACCGGGAAGGACCCTGACCTGCGTTGCAGCCCGGCCGTCCCAGCTCATCCAGAACCAGGACCGGAAGATTCTGGCTCCACCGCTCTCCTCCGGCAGAGCGGGAGCAGAGGCTGAAAAGTGACGGGTGGACTGGGAAACAGAGGGGAAGCCTGAGCTTCCTGCCCTCGCACCCTGACAGACGCTCCCTCTGCCTCGCTGCAGGCGGCAGATCCCACTCTGCCCGAGTCAACTGGATGGGGTCTGAGTTTCTGCGGCCGCAGCCCCCCAGGGAGAACGACTATGAGCTGCTGCGCCAAGCACCCGACAACGCCCACGTCCCCCAACACTGGGGTCGCATCACATGTTTTTTAAAGGGCAATGCATGAGGACAGGTGAGCCAGGCTACAGACTGGTGGGGACCAGAACCATGCGGTGCTCAAGCCCTTCTGCGGCTTTCCCCCAGCACGAGCGAGCCGTTCCAGGCAGGAAGGCCCCTACTGAGGGCCAGCACCGGCAGGCTACCCCACCCGCACACGTGGGAGGAACTCTGCACGGCTGTTTGTGCTCGGGTGACTCGCCAAGGTCCTGGCTCCCACGGCCTGAGCCTGCGCACTATGGGCTGGCCTTGTCGTCCGGCAGCTTCCTGCGCCATGTCTGTGGTGGAGTCTCCCAGCGACACAGAACAGGGGGAGCCTGCCAGCCGGATTTACCTGTGCTTGACCCGTGCCAGGTGCGCCCGGAGGACAGACTGCACGGTGGTGATGGCCTCCTGCCCTGGGTCGTCCTCAGCCTGGACGGCGGGGCTCGGAATGCGTGGTCGCGGGTCCTGCAGTGACACGACAGTGGGGAAGAGAGCCATTTGGGAGCCTCTGCCCACTTCCCGGGTGTGGCAGAGCCCCCGCCTGGCCCCCAGAGAGCCCGGTGAGCGTGGCCCCGTTCCAGGTGGCTCACCTGGTCACTGACTATGTGCTCAGCAGCCTCCTGACGCTCAGACTCTAGAGATTCTTAAAATGAACGTCTTGTCATTTTCGCAGAGGAGGGATGGATATAGAAAACGCTAATCTTTCTTTACTGGGTTTTTAAGCTTCTGTCTTAATTGTGAGGCGGGCATGCTGCCTAATACGTGAGCACCTCAAAGCAACATGGCCCCTGAAGTTAAATCCATCTGGCGCCTGCACCACGGCTCCGCCGCCTGGCCCTGCCTGGCCCCCCACGGACAGTAAAGTGCCCGGCAGGTGACGGGCACCGAGATGCCACGCTGCCCCAGTCGAGGAGGCACGAGACGGGACACATAGAGAGGGCAGTTAGCGCCCCCACCACGTCTGGCCCCCCAGGGTTACCTGGCCGGGCGGGCTGGGCGAGCTGGGGGGTTCTGAAGCACACACCTGGCTTGACAGTAGCTTCACCCGTGCTAGGTGTCCCCTGAAAGCTGCCTGGAGTACCGTAGCCGCCTGGCAGGGACGAGGAGAGAGGGAAAGGGAGGTGAATTCCCCTGGAAGGCGGCAGGTGCAGGGGAGGCGGCTCCGGAGGGCAGAGCTCTACCAGCAGAGAAAACGACGTCTCTCGCTGGTGCAGAGCCATGGCCTCTGTCACCCGCCCAGCGCCTCCCGCAGGAGGAGGCACGCCCACCGTCCACACGGACGGCGGCACAGGCGTCCCCTCCCACGGCAAACCGAGTCCTCTGTTAAACGCTATGATGTTTAGCGGCTAGTATTTGTCCACAATTTACACGCAATTATGTTTCCACATTGGGCAGTCCATCCCATGCCTCGTGCTTTCCATACACATCTTCCAAAACCAAGCAGGGCAGACATGGTCTCAGACTGTCGCCAAGAAACGATCTATCCTCTGACCTTAGTCTTAAGTGATTTCTTCACACACACGGATGCTTTGTTAAGTTCTGAGATCAGTGTTCTGGATTTCAGGGGCAGCCCGGCTGGAAACGTCACAGCGTGACAAAGGGGTTGAGCTCTTAGGGAGCTCTTAGTTTTGAGCATCTTAGGGAGCGCCACACGAGCACACTGGGGCCTGACACGTCATGTGTCCAGAGGTCTAGACGCTTCCAGAATCAGGTCACTAAGAGAAACACCTTTGCTTTGTTGTTACTGGAGGCAAGGTGAAGGAGATGTCCTGAACTCGGGGTTCAGAAACAGGCCCAACAAAGCACGGCAAGAGAACCCTCGTTCAGGCAAATTCGAACAAGCAGGTGCATGTGTAGACCGACCCGGGGGGCTCGCTGCTCGCAGACGACCCGGGCGAGGGCTCGTTATGGGCGACATGGGCTGGGGTGACAGCTGCTGACATCATAGCCACCAGAGCCTGGCAGAAACCCAGCCCAGCTGCAGCCTGGGGGGTCCTGTCATCACCTTGCCTGGGGAGGTGAGGACACGCAGGCCTGGGGGGTACCCGGGAGAGCAGCAGCAGAACACGACAGTGCATGCTGGCTGGCCGGCTGGGGAACACGCTAGATGGGCTTTTGAGGAGTCCCAAATTCACCCGTTCACCCACTCCTTCCACAGATATTTGCTGAATGCTGACCACGTGGCAGGCACCATCCTAGGAACTATGGATATAGTGGTGTAAGAACAGAGGTGGTCCCTGCCTCCGTGGAACTTTAAATAAATTGCAATAGGAAACAAGCAATTTAAAACAAGCAAAATATCAAAATGTCAAGTAGGGATGTAAGCTACAAAGAGAGATAAAGCAGGACCTGGGGCTGGAGTGATGGCTGGCACGGGGTATTCAGAGAGAGTGTCTCTGAGGAGGTAATGTTTCCTGCGTGAAGCAAGGGGGCAGGACATGCAGGTGTCCGGAGGAAGAGCCTTCCAGGCAGAGGGAGCAGCGAGTGCAAGGGCCCTGTGGCAGGAGGAAGCTTGGTATTTCCAAGCAGTGCCGAAAAAGCCTCCAGACTGCTAGAGGAGAATGAGCAGGGCTGGGGGGTGGGGTAGCCAGGGAGTGTGGCATGGAAGGTCTTTAGACAACAGCTTTGGATCACGTTCCAAGTTTGGGAGCGAGCCATGTGCAGTGGTGGGTGTTACTTAACATTTAAAACATGCTGCCCTGGAGGCTGCCTGGGGAACAGGCTGAGGGAGGGTGACAGCAGCAAGGGGCCGTATGGGTGTCCACAGCCGTCGGGGTGGCTAGAGACCCCGTTGGTTCCCAGCGCCCGGCACGACGCGTCCTGCGGCTCACACAGACCTGCTCTCCTGCCGGGTAAGCCGCGCCCCTGCGCGCGCCAGTCTTCTGGCCGCAGCCCTTCCTCTCACGTTCCCCGGTCCCTGGGCCAGGCCTTCCCAAGAGCCCTAATGCACGCCTGCCACCCTGACCTGCAGTGACCTGTCTCAACACCTTTCTGAGTCCCGAGGGCCTGCTGGGTTACCCGACCCGAACTGATGACCGAGAAAACTGTTGAAAAAACGATCGTGTAATTGAATGAATCTGAACGTGTGAAGTTACCCAAATATTCTTCTGACGCTGGTATCACCCCCCGTCTGGTCGATTTCATGAAAACAAGTGCCCGAGACATCCCACCGTGACTTCGCTCTAGTGCAAGAATACGCTCTAGTGCAAGTGAAATAAACCTCGCTTACCTCAGTCAGAACAGCCTTTTTTTTCTGAAATAGAGAGACAGATTATGAATTAACATGAGGATGACTTTTTGGCAACACAGCGTTCATGTCCTGATCCTGCCCCTGCCACGTCACCATGGATGGAAAGCAGAGCCGGGGTACCAGGGTGCCCCCCCTCCTCAGGAGCCCCCGGAGGCTCCACAGGTCCCTGTCCTCCCCTGAGGGGCAGACAGTGCTGGGGGACCCAGCAGCCATAACCAGATGGCCAGCTTTCTCCGGGTGAGTCACAGTTAAAGACAAGCTGTCAGTGGCACCTGCGTCTCCCGACCAGCCCGCGGCAGCTGTCTGTGAGACAGACTCACGAGCACCGCCGTGTGCGCTTGACTTCAGCCCCAGGTGAGGAAGCCCCGCCCCCAGCCAGAGCTGGGGACACGGCTGCCCTCTCCAGACAGTCACACAGTGGCTGGGCCCCGCCTGCCGGAGAAGCTACAAAGGGGACCCCCGTTCACGGGTCTGGGTCACGGGCTCCCAAATCTGACCCATCGTCAGAAGCACCCAGGGACCGGAGGAAAAAAGATTCAGCCACACCCAAGGCTGAACCAAAATGTGTATCCTTACAGACGTCAGTGAAGCCCAAGCCCTTCTAGTGCGGAAACCCCAGCACACGGACGGTACACAGCACGTGCCGTGGGGCAAAGCCACGGTCCGTGCAGCACACACCCGCCAGCTCCTCTTCAGTGTTCACCAGAGTGCATGGCCCACAGCCGTTATGGGAGAGGGTGTGTCCCGTGACAGATTAAGGAAACAGGGGTACGAGGACCAGGGGGACATAAAATGAATGAATGAATGAACGAATGAACGAATATTTAATAATGATAACAATCAAGACTGAAGATCGTGCTGAGCAGCCGGTGAGGACAGTACTGGCGAGGATGTGGGGTGAGCTGCAGAATGAGGGAGTCAACAGTAAGCCTGGAGAGAGCAGAAGTGGAGGGGTGGAAACATGCCGTGACTTGAGACAGATGGGAAAGATGGAAGCGTGTTTGTTGCCTGCAGAAACGGACCCTGATTGGGGGAGGCATGATGGACCACAGCCGGCTGCAGGTCCTGTCGAGGGCAACCTGCAGCTCGCCTCAATGCGTGGCTGGGTGTGGGGCGCCACCACACCAGCCGGGAGGGCTCCAGGCGGGTCCAGGGCCTTCCTCCTCACGGCCTCAGACACCCCTGTACCCCAAGACGAGTCCAACTCATACAGACCAAGAGGACCCCGGACTGAGGTCCCAGGACCCTGATTTCCAATTAAGTGGCCTTTCAAATGCTTTATTCTCAGATGTAGGTATGTGCGTTTGATTTTTCTGAGTTCTTGTAATGCAGAATCCTGAAGAAAAGACTCAATTCATGTGTCAAGAAGTCAGCTGTGCCGGGGCGCCTGGGTGGCTCAGTCGGTTGAGCGTCTGCCTTCGGCTCGGGTCGTGATCCCGGGGTTCTGGGATCGGGTCCCGCATCGGGCTCCTTGCTCAGGGGGAAGCCTGCTTCTCCCTCCGCCCGCTGTTTCCCCTGCTTGTGCTCGCTTGCTCTCTCTCAGTCTCTCTCTCTCTGACAGATGGATAAAATTAAAAAAAAAAAAAAAAAAAAAAGAAGTCAGCTGTGCCCAGCTCCTGGAGGGGCGAGCAGTGGAACCCAGTGCGGGTGACTAGCCCTGCCCGGTTGGTGGGGAGCAGTGAGCTAGGGCACTGCTCTTAGAGAACTTTACGTTTTGGCTTTTTAAAATTAATTAGTTAATTAAATTAGAGAGATTTTTTTAATTACTTAAGAGAGAGAGCGCAGAGCAAGGGGAAGGGCAGAGGGAGAGGGAGGGAGAGAATCTCAAGCAGACTCACCTCTGAGCAGGGAGCCCAATGCGGGGCCTGATCCCACGACCCTGAGATCATGACCTGAGCCAAAATCAAGAGTCGGCTGCTCAACCAACTGAGCCACCCGGGTGCCCCGCGTTTTGTCTTTTTAATTAAGCAAGGGACTGATGGGGAGAAGGGTGAAAGATGAAGGGAAAAGCAGCATAGACAAGTGGCTCAGAGATGGCAAGCTCCACCCAGATCTGGGGTGAGGAGGACGGGGAGCTTGGGACACCTTCCTGTGCAGAAAATGAGGTCGCGCCAGCACGATCAAAGGCACAGGAGCCCGACCCGAGCGCTCCCACTGACCAAATGTGGGACACGTTGAACATGAAAAGAAAAACGACTCATTAATCTTAAAAGCAGCAATGCTCCCTCCCCTCAGAGAGAGTGTGGGGAGAAACTCGATGGCCTCCAACCCCCTGCTCTGAAATCAGGGTTTACTTAGTACTTGAAGGAAAACAGCGAAGCTTCTAGCCTGCCTTTTTTGGAAGACCCTGGAGCTATGCCCCGCTGACCAGCCGATAAGGAAAACTGCTTCACAGAAGTGTACCAGCCACTAAGTATCGGGAGGACCTGAAGTCACCCCACAACCATGTGAAAGATGGGTTGAGCTACAGTGCATGAAGGGTGTAGAGCCACCGGCGAAAGGTGGAGACCAGGGTTCACAGAGGCCACTCTCCCGACAGATTGACGGGATCATTATCAAGGGAAAGGTGTTTTCTTACAACAACAAAAGCGGGCAGCCGCGACATTACCCAGTGCCTGCAGTTAGACACACGGACGGAACTACCTAGTCTCACCTGCGTCTGAAGGGAGACAATGAGCCCAGCACCACCTGTGGGAGTGTGCCCTTGCCAAAAATACCTAACCTAACCCGAGTCAAGCTCGTACACCTGACTTGCCATGTACAGAAAGTAAAGGGGACAGAGGAACAAGTTAAGGGCCACCACAAGGACACAATCAGACAGATGCAGGATGTGGGATGCCGTGCAGGAGACTGGCCTGTGCTCTTCAAGAAGAACATGACTTTAAAGAGAAAAGAAGGTTAGGGCTGATAAACCACACCGAGGAGGTTTATACAACTGAAGAGGAAGCTTTCATTGGATGTGGGTCAAAATCCAACCTTGACTAGATCCAGGGTTGAAAAAGACAGCTGAGTGGCCTCCTGGGGCACAGGGGGAGATATGACTATGAAGGGGACACCAGAGGACACGAGAGAACCTCTGCCACGTTTTGGGGTGTCTGACAGCGCGTGCTGTGGTCAGTGAGACATCCTCATGCTTAGAAGATGCTGAAGATTCACAACGTCTAAGACTTACTCTCACATGGTTGTGCAAAGAAATGATCCGTATAGAAAAGAAATATGGCTGCACGTTAACTACTGCTGAGTCGAGGTCGGGGGAAGAATTTGTGCAGTACCTTCGTGAATACGAGGAGTTCAACTATTCTAAACGTTCTGTACATTCTCGTAAAAAAAGTTGGGAAGAAACAGTTTAACTCTACAGACAATCTTCCGGAACTAAGACCTTATGATACTCAGGCAGGTAGAGAACTCCAGAGTTTTTATTGGTTCAGCCGGGGAGAAAGGGCCCTGTTGTGTTCTGCAGAACCGGGATCTCTTTCTGAGCACATAGCTTGTCCAAGGAGACCGCCACCCTTACCCTGGGAGCTCAGGAGAGGAGCCCCATTCCTCCTCCATGAGACAGCATGGGGTTCCCCCAGGCTCCTCCCTCACCCCCCACTTCCCCATCCCCCCACCCCTCATCCCCCCACCTCCCTTGCCCCGGGCTCCTGGCCCCACTTCCCCCAAGCACAAAGGCACTCATTACAGATTCACAGCTCCTTGTCTCCTGGGGTCTGAGACCCACGTGCTCAGCTTTGGTGGGTGGTCTTCCTGTCCCCTAACCTACAGGTGGTGTCCTCTGAGGAGCAGCCACTCAAGGCAGGTTTTTCACAGTCCCAGTAAAATGGACCACAGCCCGACCTGCTGCCCCCCAGACAACCCCAGAAGAGGGCTACTCTGGGGGTTTGAATTTCCAGTTGTTTCTGCAATGGATGCACCTGACTGTGGATCCCATGCTCGGGCTGTGCTCGGGGGGACAGTGCAGTGATTCCAGAGTGTGGTCAGGGGCTGCACCCAGAGTGGGTCTTCCTGGGAGCCCGCCACCCTGCCACTGCATGCACCCAGTCCGTGAGCTAACAGAGGCTTCTGGACAAGTCGCTGCCGTTTGCCACCTGGAAAACGACCCTCCCCCTCCTCCGAGGATGAGCTAAAAGGGAAACCTCCCCTTCCTCCCCCGCAGGACCGAGTCCTTCCACTGCAGGTCCAGGTGCTCGTCTGTCCCTCACCCCCCACGATGTCTGTTCAGGCGCGTCAAGTCTGTCCCGCATTTCCACCCACGCCCGTGGCACCTAGCCCACAGCCTGCATGGCACAGGGACAGCCTCCACGGGCTCTCACCTGGCGTCGGTACACCTTCCACCGGGTCTGCAGGATCCTGGCCGCCGTGTCTCTTCGCCGCTCGGAGCAGGTAGAGGGGGGCCGGGAGCCCTCCTTGCTTGTATCTGGCTCACAGTCCTGCTGAGAGGGCCTGCTGGTGGGAAGGGAAGGTCGGGGTTCTTCTGGGGTCTGCAGAAATTCAAGGTGTAAAGGACGGTTAAGCCGGGCAGGGAAGATGGGGATCGGGTCAGGTGGCAGGATATCGGCATGATACAGATGGAGCCCGTCAGACCAGACTTTTTAATGTGGAGGAAAATCTGTTCAGTAGGCCATTCGACAAACAAAATCTCTTCAGAAACAATGTGCAGCTAATAAATGGATTGAAGGTCGGTTTTCATCCCCCTCCCCAGACCCGGTGTGTTGACACCACCTGTGGGTCCAACGGGCGGCCCCTTCCATGCTACGACGTACTAACCGAGCTCAGTGACACGTGCGTATTATTGCAAGGTCTACCTGCTTTTGGGGGGGGGCGGTCCTGTGTTTGGTCTTTCTTTTAGTCTAAGACTCTGATAGAAACAGGACCTCTGTGATTAAAGGCAATAGATTTCTAGCTCAGTTTTCACAGTGAAAAGAAGCAAGAATTGCTACTGTGACCGTGGAAATAACCCTGATTTCTACCACACTTGAGGGTCCAAATTTATTATCTGCAGTGACATGTCTCAATAAAAATCAATACACTGGACTGGGGACTCGTCTGGGGATGCGGAGACAGTGATTAAGGATGTCATCCCTTGAGGAAAAGAATGTTCATTGGGGCCCCATACCAACTCGGCCGCCGTGCCTCGCACTGAGTTAGTGGAGGATCCGGATCACGAATTGCTGGGATTAACGGAAAGCGGCACGCTTGCGGTAAGGTGCTTGGAGAAGGGGGCCTGAGCCTCGGTGCCAGATCCTCCCAGACGTCAGTGTGAGGCCTGGTGCGTGAGGAGCCTACCAGCCAGGGCCACCTTCCTGATGGTGGGTGCATGTCAGTGCCTGGGACGGAGATCGGGCTACAGTGACTCCAGCTCTGGAGGACACCAAAGAGACAATAGGGGAAGCCTGCTTTCCTTCCCACATGAGCGTCTACGGGAACCCCGAACGGGCCTCTCTGCACAGGGAGGGGTCTCCAGGACAGAGAAATTAAGATAAGCAGAAGAATCTACGTTGGCTTCTGTCGGGTGCCTCCCAGGGGTCAGGATCACGGACAAGTCACAGGTGGGTGAGCCCTGCCGTTTCAGAGCCCGGGGAGCACCCACGTGGGAAGAAAGGGGGCTCCTGCCGGTGATGTGGCCCCTGAAGACACGTAAACTCGGCTCTGCCGCACACGTGGCAGCCCTGGCCTCCCATCCGCCCGGGGCAGACAGCGGGCGTGGGCTTGCGGGGGAGCAGGGGGCCCTGGAGACGGACGGTTGTGCAGAGCGGCTCGCTCCAGGACGCGGGGAAGCCGCCGCAGAAAAGCATCCCACAGAGAACACGACAGGATGCTTTCCTGCACAACAGAAATAGTTTCCAGAGGGATCAGGAAGGACTCACACTGTCGACCCTCACACTTGGTCAGCGGGACAAGCGGCTCCACGGCCGCTGTGCAAACTCCGGGGCTCCCGCGAGCATGCGCCACGACCCTGCCTTCCCCTGCCTGCCAGGTAAGCTGCACCCATCGGCTTCTCCAGATTCCCGACTTTCAGCTCTTCCCTGGTTTCCAAGTACACACGGGGTCCCTACAGTCAAAGAGCCCCCCAGTGGAGACTCCAGCAAGTAAGCCTCCGAAGCCAGAAGCCAGCCCCGACTCCTGCACTGCCCTCAGCAGAAACTCAGCCCCAGTGACCGTCTCTGTCAGGTCACTTGCTATAAAACAGTAAGTCACCTTCTGAAGCAACAGAACTTTTTGTGCGCCAGGCAAAGCCCCACCATCCTGCTGGGCCCCCAGGTATTACCACATCGGTAGCAGACAGACAGAGGCTCGTGGAAAGGGATCGTGGAGAGGCCACCGCGTGTCCTCTACCAGCTCGGCGCTATCTACCACACGTTTGCGTGGTGCCGTCCTGTGGGGGCACACGGTAGCCACAGGATTGTAATACCTCTGTTATTTGTGTTAGTAGATTGCACCTACCATCTGAGAAACCCCATCAACTGGGAAACAGGATTAGCAAGGAGCCACCAGACGTCCAAGTGCAGGTGCCACCGGGCCCGCGGGCGCCAGAGGGCTTGAAAGTGGTGCCACGGGAGCCCTGCACGGCCACACAGGCCACCTCAGCTGCAGCTACCTCCATGAGGGGACGGGGACAGGAGGGCGGGCGCCCGCCCTGACCTCTTGCCTCGAACCTGCCATTCGTCACACACTCATGCAACACCTGGGAGAGTGCACAGCTCGGTGGCAGGCATGGGGGCCCTGAGCAGATGCCCCGCTGGAGCGAGCGCTCTCCCCGCCAGGCCGTGTCGACATCACAGTTCGAAGCTTCCATTAAACACAGAGGGCGGGGGGCAGGGGGTCCTCACACAGCGTCACTCCTTCTCACCCACAAACGGACACCCCCTTGTTGGACAATTAGACTTTCTGCATATGTGAAGTTTGGGGAAGACCTTCACTCAGCTTCACTATCTAAGACTCCAACGTTCGTTCAAAAAAGTCACTTAACTGACAATTGATCAGTTCAGAACCCCAATTTGTGGACATCAAGGGGAAGATAAAGGGGAACTGGACTGTCACCATCGGAGTCAGGAGAGCTGGGGGACAGACCCCCACAGAACCGTCCCGCCCTGGCCAAGAGCCCCGCGGTGCCCACGCAGGAAATCTGAAACCCAGCGGAGCCATACCTCAACACTCCTCTCCCCGGGATCGTCTCTCTCTTGTCTCCTGATTTCCTCCAGTTCTTGACACTTCTTTGTAAGGGTTTGAATTTCCTCTCTACAGTGGGAGGGAAAAGATGACATCTTACTCGTCATCACGCAGTGGCCCACGTCTGTATGTGATGGCAGGGAGGGCCGACTGCGGGGCTGCCAAGGCCACCTCTCCCGCGGTGACGTGAGGCCCCCGCTACCAGCCCCCTGCACCTCCGCCGGCACGGGGTCCCCCACCGCGGGACCGCGCTCTGTGGCCCGTGTCAGCGGCCGGGCTGGCAGCTGCGGAGGGACAGGGCCAGAGGACCCCGGGACGCCACCGCCTCTGGCACGTGGGAAGAACCAGGCAGATCCTGACGGCAGGAGGGACACACGGGCAGCACCACTTGGGCTTCTCAGCGCACAGTGTGAATGGAAGCAAATACAACTCGCGTCCTCGCTGAGGGGTCAAAGGTGACAGGAGAGGGCGCCTGGGTCGCTCAGTTGGTTGAGCGGCTGCCTTCGGCTCAGGTCATGATCCTGGAGTCCCTGGATGGAGGCCCGCATCGGGCTCCCAGCTCGGCGGGGAGTCTGCTTCTCCCTCTGACCGCCCCCCCCATGTGCTCTCTCTCATTCCCTCTCTCTCTCAAAATAAATAAATAAAATCTTAAAAAAAAAAAGGTGACAGGAGAACAGCTCTTCCCTGTGCACCTCCCCCTTCTGTCTCCTTCAGTCCTCCCTTCCGACGAAACCTAGTCACGGTTCTCCAGAAAATAAATATTCTTATTCGTTCCAGCAATCTGTGTCTTCCTCATTATTCTGAGTGCTGAATATTTCCACTCAGCATTCTTACTTTTGGGGGCATTTCTCACTGAGGTGAAGTTTGTACAACGTCAAACCCACTAACGTACAGGATGAAAGTCCAGGTTTCCGTGAACTCACGGCACCGTGCCACCATCACGAACACCACCAAGAACCCTCCCGTCACCCCGAAGGAGCCCCGTGTCCCTCAGCCGGCCCTTCCCGCTTCCCCGCCCCGCACCCCTCTCTGTGACTTTGTCGACGTGTTGGGATTGTTCAGTGCGTGGCCCTTCCTGTCTGCTTCCTGCATGTGGTGTGGTGTGTGGGAGGCTCGCCCACGCTGTCACGTGTGTCAGAACCTAGTCCTTTCTATCCCTTTGCGCGGACGTACTTCCGTTTCTTATCTTGCCTCAGCTGGTGGGCTTGGGGCTCTTTCCCCTTTTTGGGGCGTGAGCAACGACACTGAAGGTGCGGGAGGCGCCGTCCTGGGAGTCCTGACCTGGGAGGCGGCAGCGAAGGGTGCGTGCAGAGGCAAACCGCAGCCTGGTGGGGAAGAGCCCTTTCCCAGAATTGGGACTTTTACTCTGAAGGACATGAAGAGCAGCCGCAGGATGTCAGCACTCCAAGTGGCAGACTCGGGCTGGGGCAGCCGTGTGAAAACCGCTCCGGAGCCGCTCGGAGGGAAGACGAGAAGCGCCTGGAATCCAGTGACCTCACAGCCTGTGACTCTGGGAGCACTCACCTCAGAGCCTCCTCTGTCCCTCGCCTCTCCTCCTCGCCTCCCTTCACGTGCTCCAGCTCCTGCTGCAGGTCAGCGTTGGTCTGTAGCAGCTGCTTGACCTCCAACCTGAGCACACAGAACCAGAGACATTTCAGTGTTCGTGAAAACAAAGTTACTCCAGTGATCACAGAGCAGGAAGAACTTTCCGAAAACATCACACGCCCAACTTCCTTTCTTATGACAGTGGATGGACACGGGGGCGGATGGACAGAGGCGCTCGTTTACCACCACGCAGAGCCGGGAACAGACCCGACAGGCCTGCCGCTCTGGCCGTGGTTCCTCCAGATATTCGTGTCTGCGACTGTTAGGTGCCCAGGATACAGGGGTGAGGAGACGCAGACAAGCTGCAACCCCAGACGAGCTGGAATATTGCATTATCCCAATAGTCACACAATTGGTACATAACCCCTGAGATGAGCGCTCGGAGGGTCCTGTCCACGCCACATGGGGCTGCTGCCTGAGCTGAGCCATCAAGGACGGGGGAGTGACCTAGGACCTCCAACTAAACTGCTTCCCACAGGGCTTTCCTGGGTCCCACAGGTGGCACGTGGCTAAGAACACCACTCCAAGAGGAGACCTCAGTCTGAGCTCAGCTCCACTGCGCACTCTCGTGTGACCTCATTTTTCAAGGTTCCTTAATCTCATGAGTCAGACGAAACACCTTGGGTGTTCCACAGAGTGTCTGTCACTGAGCAAGGGCTCAATAAGTGGAAGCTCTTATCATGCCAGGTGACAGCTGAAGAGATGATCAAAATGACTAGTCCAATTCTGAAAACCTTTCATGAAACACTAATTCTTACAAAGAACCTACCAATTCACATAGATGCACTTGGATTGGAGGAGTAAGAACAGGTGGAATGTGAAAGGATTTTCGTCTGCTGTAAACAGAAGGCAGCAGAGAACTTAGTAGGCGAGGAGTCCGCTAGGGAGTCCTTCTCAGACCTGAATGTGCACATGAATCGCCAGGGGGCCGCATCAGACACAGAGTCAGATTCAGGAGATCTGGGTCTGACAAGGTTCTGCATCTCTAACCAGCTCCCCAGTGGGTGGGGCCTAGATTCTACATCTCTCACCAGCTCCCCAGGTGGGCGGGGCCTAGATTCTGTTCTCACCAGCTCCAAGGTAAACAGAGCCTAGATTCTGCATCTCTCACCAGCTCCCAGGTGGGCAGGGTCTAGATTCTGCTTCTCTCACCAGCTCCCCGGTGGGCGGGGCCTAGATTCTGCATCTCTCACCAGCTCCCAGGTGGGCGGGGCCTAGATTCTACATCTTTAACCAGCTCCCAGGTGGGCGGGGCCTAGATTCTACATCTCTAACCAGCTCCCAGGCGGTGGGCGGGGCCTAGATTCTGCATCTCTCACCAGCTCCCAGGTGGGCGGGGCCTAGATTCTACATCTTTAACCAGCTCCCAGGTGGGCGGGGCCTAGATTCTACATCTCTAACCAGCTCCCAGGTGGGCGGGGCCTAGATTCTGCATCTCTAATCAGCTCCCAGGCGATGCTGAGGCTACTGGCTCCCCAGGCCATACTCTGAGAGATAAACCCCATCTCAGAAGACACATGGGTTTGGCTTATTCATGACAGAACTGCAACTAGAGAAGCCACAAGTAAACAGTGGAGGAGACAGGCTACAGATCAAGACACTAGAGAACAAACAGTGAATAAGCAAAATCTGGAGACTTTGCCTTTCAAACTCTCAGGGCCACACTGAACACTTGACAGCATTTATGTCTTATTTGGCATTTAGACTGGAAGTCATAAACATATTACTGACTCTTTAAACCACTCTGCCTAAGATCTAACTGATGGCCTATCTACTTTACACAAATCAATGAAAGCAAATTCTCTAAAAAATAATTTGGAAATCGCTCTGGAATTCAGCATGAACAGATTTAAATGATACCTCCTCTTCTTTCAGTGATGTAATATGGTCAATTAACGTCTTCTTTTTACCACTAAAGTGACTTCTACTTCACAAACAAGATATAGAAAGTTTCTGAATCATATAAAACTACAGCAGCAATTACTACAAGGAGCTGAGCATTTTCCCCGAATTCACCAGAAGACTCTAGCCACAACCCCCTCCCAGGGGCATGAGCTGCCGGCTGTGCCCCGCAACCTACTCTTTCTCCTGCAGCTGCATCTGCAGGGCGTTCCGCTCGCCTTTCAGGCTCCGCACAGCACCGCGGAGACGCTCGCTGTCCTCCTGCCGGTCGCCTCCCGGCTGCCTGGGCACAGTGGAGCTGGACGCAGAGCGCACCACGGCGTTTGACTTGACCACTTCTGAAGCGTGTAATTTGGGGCTTTCCATCGAACTTATTTTCTAGAGGCAACACAGGCATTTGTTAGGCGTTCTTTCTCATTTTACTTTACGATTATGAAACCCAAGGAAGAGACAGTGACCGAGGGAAACTTATCCCAAGCACAGGTATGGGACCACGTATGACCTCACAACCCTGGGACAGCTCCACCTCACAGGAGCCCGTCGGGAGCGGAGCCTTTCGGGGAAGTGAAGAGCACCCCTCCAACAGCGCCCCCCGTGGGAAGAGAAGAGTACCCTGCCAGCAGAGCCCCCCATGGGAAGCAAAGAGCACCCCACCAGCAGAGCCCAGCCTGGTGCAGGCGGGGGGCAAGGTGCCATTCATAAAACAGAATACAGGGCCCACTGGAGGCAAATTCATAAGCTTCTTTCCTTTGTGCTCATTTACCCTAGTATTTCCTTAGGATTTCTGAAATTTTCAATCTCTATGCTTTTAATCCTAAGTGATAACCCAGTTGTGCTGATTAAGAGGTATGGAGCACCTGCAGCTTGCCTGATGCCAGCCCCTGTCCCAGCCAAGAAAGCACCGTCCCGCGGTACTTCTGAGCCACCCCCGGCTGACTCTCTCCCTAATGAGCTTTATTTTCAAAATACCCACAATATATAAAAACTTCTTAGGTTTTTAATGCTGTGTAAATATGTAAAATTATTTTGTTTAATGCTCCCCTCTAGGTTTACTCTGTCCAGCCAAACAAGGGGGCAGCTCTCATGATTTTGCCAGGCTGCTCAGAAGATGTTGCCACTTCTGACCAACTCCAGTAGAGTCCAATTGGTTACTGACCAGAGGAGTGAGATCAAATTTGCAAATTCAAATCTCCCCAGTCTTCTGGTAGATGGACAGAGTTTCCTGAGGACTCAGATCCACAGGCTGGTGAGTGACCATCAGCAGAGAGCCCACACGTACTCATCAGGCTGGGTTTCTGAAAGGCTCTAGGATCACCTGCATCCACCCCCGGTCACACATGGGAGTCCAAAACCACGTGCCACGAGACCGTGGTTTTACCCCGTTTGACACCAGGGACAGGAAGGGCATAGCCCGTGGGTCTCGTCCAGACCCGCAAGAAGTCTGCACAGGCGCCATCGGGTAGACGGCCACTAGTCATTCACACTTTCACTCTGAGTGTCCTGTGAGCAAAGGACTTGTCTGTGTCCCCACTTTATAAGCTGCCTGGCTTCTCCTCGAGCACCGGCTGTGGTCCGAAAGGACAGGTGAGCTGAGAGGCGCACCACTCACTTTTTCCAGCTCTGCAATCCGCCTAAGCAACCGGGGCTTACTCCATTCCACGTAACCTGACGGAGGCAAGGGTTTCAAGAGACATACTGCACACAACCACCCCGACGGCCCCTTCGGCCTGGACCACCCATCTCAAGCACAGCCTGCGAGTTTCCCTTTCCACAGCCGGCAGCAAAGCCAGGGGACCCCCACCCGGCAGGTGCTTATAAGCCGAAGAGTGCCTCCCTGCGAAGGATTCTGTCCCCCACACCGCAGCGCTGTCCCTAAGTGGGGCATCCAGCTCTCTGATTCTACCTGTCAGGCCTGGCCCCATCAGTCCAAGATGACCCTTCTCAAGGTCACACGAGTCCGCTGTGCCACACCCTCCACCCGCCTCCCTCCTCCCAGCGCTTCCCTCCCCGGTGCTCCTAGCTCCGCCGGCCACCTCACCAGCCCCCGGCAACTGCGCTGTGGGCTCACCCTCACCGGGCACCCTCTGCGCACTGCCGCGTCGTGTCGGGGGCCGCACCCCAGGCCCGCCTCTGCTGCCCTCTCTCACGGGTGCTCTGAATCCCACCCAGGCCCTCCGCTGGCCGGGGCCCACCCGCCGGGGCCTCCGCCCTGGACTCACTGATACGTCCTGTCTCTCCTTGGACCCCTATTCCACACCACAGACCGGACCCGTTCCCTTCCCCCAGACCCGCTCCTCTCTGTCACCTCCACCTCGGTAAGGGACACCCGTCCTTTCGGTCACTCGGATAAAAGCCCTGGAGTCTGGCTCCTCCCTTCCCTCAGAGGCTGCACCTGATCCCCCGAAGGTCTCTGGAACCCGGCCACCTCTCAGCCCCGCGGTGCTACCCTGCTCCGGGTCGTCAGCAGCCCCTGCGAGGACACCGCAGAAGCCCTGTCTCCCCACAGTCCACTCAGCACAGAAGCTGGTCTCTTCCCCTCGGCCCAAACCCCAGGGGCCTGGGCACGGCCTTCACAGCCCTGTCCTGCACCTAACCCCGTGCCTTCTGTCTTATCGCCGCCACCCGCCCACTGCCGCCACAGGCTGGGCACGCTGGCTCTGGGCCTGGCTGTCCCTCACCTGTCCCGGCTCTGTCAGCTGTCCTGTCCCTGACGCCCCTACTCACAGGTGCACACCCCACTGCACCTGACACTTGCGGTCTTCCCTCTGCATTTTGCTCCCCGGCACTTGCTACCACCTGACCCGTGACTGGCAGGTTGGCTTCTCGTGCCCTCCAGGACGATGTCACCCCCACGAGGGATGTCTGCTTCCGTTCCCTACTCTGCCCCACTCCCTGGAAGGGTGCTTGGCACACAGCAAGTGCTCGTTAGATTTTGGAATAAATCTTAATGTCGCCTGGCAGTGTGTGTCTGCATTTGTGGCAGCTGAACCAGGGCCTCGGGGGCCGGGCAGGAGGGCCAGGATGCTCCCACAGCCTCCGCCCGCGTCTTCCCTCAGAGAACACGAGATGCGGCCTCTCCTGGAGTGTCCCTCCGCAGGTGGCTCCAGGGACAGTACCCTTCATGGTGGAGATGGTGGGGGAGTTGCTCAGCACGCGGTCCAGATCTTCCTTCAGGCTCTGGTTCTCTTCTGTGAGCTCCTGGACGCTCTGGGACAAACTCAGGAGGGCGCTGCTCACTTTTTTCTTCCTTTTGAGGCCCATTTTCTTCTCCCCTGGAGTCCTGGGAGTAACAAAGCCAAGGGCTAGGTTTGAGTTCCTAAACTGGCTTCATAAATGCCTTAAAAGAGGGGTGCACACACGGCAGCCTGTCCCTGGCTCAGAGTGGTTTCTATAGGTATTTGCATCGCATAGGGAACACAGACTTTGAGCCCCCAGGAAGCAAACTGCTATCCCCCAAACTGGATTCCATCCTCATTTGTAAGCCTGTGGAACAAAATACTGTATTTGATACTAGTGATATATTTTAAACCGCATCACTAGAAAGTGTGTGAGAACTTGCTTTCTGTCGTTACATAAATACCTGTAGAATGATTTTGCTCCTTATCCCACAAAGTCTAACACACAGCCAGTCCTCACTGTTCAATTTCTGTATTTGCAAATTTGCCTACTTGCTAAAACTTATTTGTAACACCTGAATCGATACTTGGGGTGCCTTCGTGGTCGCCCAGGGACACGGGTAGGGGGCGGAAAGCCTGAGAGGTGAGTTCCTGGCGGGGTGTAGGGGTGGGGATGGGGGTGGGTTCTGCCTTTCCCGCAGTCCCCACGCGCCCCCCAAGCGGCACCTCCGCCATCTAGTGAGTGCTATTTTCCCACATTTGCGCTTTCGTCAGTGATCTCATGGTTTAAAACAGCCCCCTTCAGCACAATGCTCAGGGGCTGCCCCGCGTTCCTAATCGCGAGAAAGCACATGTGTGCGATGCTGCTCGGGGCATCAGCAGTATCTACTAAATAAGCCGTCTTTAAATCAGAAACACACACAGAAGCAGGATAGGTGAAGATGTTGTGACCTGAGGCTCGCAGGAACCTACTCTGCACGGCCCCCAGGGGTGATGGCTCAGTATTCAAGCAGGTCTGTGTTAGAGGACACTTCACAGAACATACCTCCTGGGAACAGCAAGGATCAACTGTCCTTTACAGAAAAATCTTGCCAATCCCAAAAGGGAAAAGGGAAGGCTGTGCCTGGCACAGGGGGAACGCCTGATACACGTCTGCAGCTCAGTGCTAAGGCCAGCGACATGGCCAAATCTGTGATAACGGAATCTTCGCGATCAGGAAACCCTGATGTCTCTCCTAAGAAACTCCTTTGGGGAAATGAACCTGTATTCTTTGTACTTGGTATTAAAGGTCTTCTTGAAAAGGAAGGCCTGCTTTCAACAACAGTGCTAACTGTATGTGAAGCTGTTCCGTAGTAGGAGCTAAGGACTTGATGTGCGGAGAGCTGAACATGCTGTTAGTAGCCAGCACGTGGCCACTGTGAGGGCATGTGTGTAACTGTCCCAAGTGGAAACACGTGCACTCGAGCCACTAACACACCACACAGGTGCTGGCTCCAAAGAGAAGGGTAGTGCACGCCCCTCCCACATAATGCCTATGCTACTCTTAGGACCAAACACAAAACGTGGCTCCCGAGGACATGATCGTACTTCTTTCCTGCAGTTTCAGAGCTTGCCAAGAGAGTCTGGAGACGATGAATCTGTAAATACCAAATTAAAGCACATTACAATGTAAAATGAGCATGAACACATCCCCTGAAAAAAAGCTGTAATCAGATTCCTGATTTCTGCCTAGTGGCTGCAAGTAACACTGAGTTGCTGGGATTCCCGTGTAAGCTAAGGGTCCCCAGGGTGCAGCGGGACGACTGCCCCCACCCCCTGGAGAAGGCCACGCACCTCCTCATAGTAAGTCTCCATGGCAATCCTCATCTCTTCCAAATTAGTGGTCTTCATATCAGTCTGCAGTTTGCTAGAAACCCAAGTTCAGAGTTAACACGGCGTGCTGGCACCCCCAGGGCAGACCAAGGACAAGAGTGCTTCCCGGAACATCAGCCAAGGAAGGGCTTCGCGAGAGAAGCGGGCTGGGTGGGGAGCCTTGTGGACTCACGTCGAGACCCACAGGAGGAGCCTCTCACATCCTCAGGACCCCCTCCGTGTTGGACCAGCCACCTCCAGGTGCGGCAACAGACACCCTAACGCTATTCCTTACTAAGCAGGAGGCTTTCTGGGAAGAAGCGAAGTGACTGTGAAGGACCCAGTACCCCGGGGTGAGAACAGCTGCTTCTGGGGGTGGGCAGGGGAGCATCACTTCCCTCCCGTAGCACCAGCACCATTCTCCCCGCCCTCAGTATCCCACAGACTTCAGATAAAAAGCTCTAGCAGACATATGAAAGTACAGTTACAGAGTTCAGGATTCTGAAACAGGAGAAATCAGCAAATAATCAAAATGTTCACAGTTGACAGTTTCAGCAAGAAACCCAGCAGGGGGAGGCTGTTGTACACAGGGGAGACCGGGGCAATAGAAGGACTCTCCTCTGCATTACATTACCGGGGGGACGCGTGCGTGGCCACCCCGGAGCAGCACCAGGACGCCGCGGGAGCAGCGCAGGCAGCTGGCTTCCCAGCACCGAGGGCTGGCATCAAGACCACAGACCCAGTGCACATCATCCGGCGATCCTCAGAAGACCGAGGAGAGAAAGCATGGCTTAAATGCACCAGGGACAGGAAAAGAGATGAAGGGCGGATACCATTCCCGGTGACGTTTGGGCAAGGGCTAATACAAAGAGGAAGCTGGGACAAGGGACATGGGACAGAGGGTGCCGGGGTGGGGACTGAAGCTGCGGTCTGAGCAGCCAGAGCAGACACCGGTACTAGAGACGGGGCAAGGCGAGGGACACGCTGCTGGCTCCAGCCCGCGGACGGTGGGGCGAGGCCTCGGTGACCCTCCAGAGCCCGCTGCCCCCACCCCCCACCAGCGCGTCCGTACTTAATCACGTTGTCTTTCTCCTTGCACTGCTGCTCCAGCTTGAGGATCCTCTGCTTTAGCCCGTTAACAACCTGCCAATTGAACACCAGCACATCAATTTGACTGCTTCCGTGTCCTCGACCTCCCCCTCCCTCTGGACACTCAGACTGTCCTGACCCCAGGCTGCCAGCTGACCCGGCAGCACCCAGACATCCTCCCCCCCCCTTAATCAATGGCTTCTTTTGTAGTCTCTAGGTGCAGCGAAGAGAGGGCCAACTGTCCCACTGGCTCAGTGCAGGGTGGCGGGGGTGGGAGCGGGCAGGGCCAGGAGATGTGCCTGCAGGTGCAGAGCCCTCCGCTTGGCCACGTTCCACGCTTCCGAGACGAGATGCACCGCCAGCACTAGATACAAAGATCCCCAACCCTGACCTGCCCCGGGCAACTGCATCCACAGTATTCCCTTGGGGTGAGCAGAGCAGAGGTCTGGAGGAGCCCCCCCGCTACTGCTCGTCCACCTCATTTCTTCTATTAATATATCACTCTGGGAGATAGCACCCTTATGTTTCTGGAAGACTATCCTTTCCTTTCTTCTTGAGTAGCCAAACAACTTTTTAATTGGATTTTAAGCAAATTTTAAATTGTATTAGTAATACATGAATACATCTTCTTGTAAAAAAATGAAAACATTATAGACGGAACTATGCTCCTTCACCTTATTCCTCTCAACTAAATATTGTTCCCAACTGAATCTGAATTCTCTAGACCTCATTACAGGGCTGTGTACCCATCGACAATCTGTCATTCTGTCGTGTTTGCAGAAATGGCCCCCTTCCACACACAGTCTGCAAGTGGTTATCTTCACACCACACACGGCCTTGGCGTCTGTCCCTTTTGTGCCTACAGATCTGTGATTCTTACACAGTACTATCATTTGGTGTAGATACCCATCCCTCTCTTGATGGACATTTAAGCTGCTCATACAAACAAGCCATCAGTAGACATCCAGCCCTCCTCGTGCACGCGTGCAAATGTCTCTTGAGGGGAGACGGTGACCAGCACAAGTGTCCAATCACAAGATGCAGTGACTCTGAGGGGCGATTTGGCAGCGGGTATGAAAGTGGGAACAGTGCATTCCCAAGGATCTAGAATGTCTACTTTTAATCAACTTTAATAATAATAATAATAATAATAATAATAATAATAAACCCACAGCAGGGCGCCTGGATGGCTCAGTTGGTTGAGCCTCTGACTCTTGGTTTAGGCTCAGGTCATGATCTCAGGGTCGTGAGATCGAGCCCCACGTCCAGGCTCCGCACTCAGCACAGGAGTCTGCTTGAGATTCTCTCTCTGCCTCTGCCTTGCCCCCTGCTTGCACGTCCTCTCTCTCTAAATAAAATCAATAAAAATCTTAAAAAAGAAAAATCCCACAGCGTTAGAATAAAAATGCAAAAAGCCCTTCCTCTATGGTATGCATTATTTACATAATTCTAAATCCTCACCTAAATTAACCACACAGACGTTTCTGAACATAGCTATACTGTTTTATATTCTTTAAAAATTTTTTTCTGAAGGTGTGTTTTAATGTAGTGTTATTCTACTTTTAATGGTTTTCTTCGGTGTCCCCCTCCAGTTGGGCAGCTATAAACACCCTTGTGTGAAGGGCTTTTTATACTGGATTTTCTCCCACAGACAGAGCCCAAAGAGAGCAGCACTGGACACATGGCGGGCACGACTTCACGGACCATTCCTCCGCTCGGTCCCGCCGACCCCAAACGCAGTGTCCGGCTCGGAGCACGTCTGTGCGCTCCCAGGCCTGCCAACGCCAGTTCCGATCATCTGACCCGTGGTAGTTCAAGGGAACGTCTTCACTCAAGTGTGCACCGCGGGCTAGTGGAGGGGACCCAGGCAGATGCTGCCTGGCTGCACAGGGCCTGTGGGCTCACTCCGAACCAACCTGGGCGAATCTCTTAACCTCAGTTTCCGGATTTTAGAACATGGGGATTGGGTCCCTATCACAAAACAATCCAGTGAGATCACGTACGACTACACAAGGTCTAGGAGCTGCTACTCATCTAAGAATGATTTTCTTGCGGAAACACTCGATGTGTTCTAGGCCCTGAAAGTATTTCCTTCGTGCGGTCGCAGGGGCAGAGCCAGGCTTTAAGCACTCACGCAGGGCCGACTGCTTGCTCTCCGTGCAGGCCAGCACCGGCGCTCTCCAGGCTCGGGGCAGAGGACTCTGTCACACCAATTCACGTCCACCCCGCGCCCCCATCACACGGATCCAGTTCCCGCTGTCATCTCAGGGGTTCTGTTATAAATTTTAGGTCACCAAACCCAATAATCACCTCACTAGTGTTATTAATTCCTTGTGTTCAACGATCTCAAAATTGCATCCCTTCCAGTTTTCTTTTTGCATTTCGCCTAAGTAAAGCTGCTCCCTTCACTCAGGAGGGTTGTGGGGATACACTTTTGTCCACCCGCGGGGGCTTCCCGCCATGGCACTGGTCACAGAATGGCGCTGTTGCCCGTCCCCCGCTTCACTCCGTCCTCTACGTGCAGTGTGGCCCCACAGCAGTGGTGGCGTGGAGGCCGTAGGGTTAATCCACTCCCGCTTGGTTTCTGTTTTCACTCAGCGTCACTTGTTCAGCACGATGTGTGTGTCTCGGGTGTGGCGGGGGACGCCCCCACTGGGACCGCTGTGCCCTACAATGTACCTCCTGCCCCGCGCGGAGCCCGCTCAGCCTCCCCAGTGCCCCCAAGAGCGCCCGCGGCATCTTCTTGTAAGCCCTCTGAGTCGGCTCCATGGAGACTGGGCTTGGGGAGTTCTGGGCCCTCGCTCTCTGTCAATCCTCTCGTACGACTGCGTTAAAGGAGAGGCAACCCTCCAGCGTGGGCTGTTTGGAACTCAGATTTCAGTGGGAGGTTATCTGTGCTGCTGGCGACTGTACTCACCCAGCCGGCATCAGGCCTTTTCTCTGCCAGAGTCCGAACAAAATCCGGGCCCTGCGGTAAGCAGACGGAGAGATGAAGACACGGGCGGCGCGGCCTCTCCCCCCGACAGCCTGAGGAGTGGAGCCTGTGCCTTCCCAGCCCGCGGCCGGGCGCCGCCACGCGGGGCCACAACTTACTCGGGATGGGTCCAACAGCTGCTCTATCTGCCGGTCCTTTCTGCTATTTTCCTCTTCTAGGCGCCGAAGCTTTGTTCTCATGAGATCCACATCACTTTTCTGCATGTGCAATGACTGAAGGGAAACAGAACCACACACACGTACACCCGTGCACACACGTGTGCACACGAACATCTAGGTGAAACACCAGTCGGAGCAGACCTTGCAAATGGCCCGGTGCGCAGTCAGGGCCCTGTGTGTGTTGTGGGGGAAGGACAGCTGCATGTCACAGGAAGGAGTCCTGTGGGCGCCCCCGAGTGAGCCTGTGCCTGTCACAGCACGTGTCGCTAAGACTCGTCAAAGGCTAACTAACGTCCACTTAAAATCCTTGTCCTCTGCTAGGGCTCAGGGGATCAGAGCAATGGCCTCACAAGTTTTCACCAATCTGTGGTGAACTGAGGAGAAAAGACCATGCAGTCAACTTCCCACTCAACTGAGCTGATTCGATCCCAAGCTGCCCTGAACTTGGAAGTCTCTTCCGTTGCCTCGTTTGGACTTACACCACCCTTTTATGAAAGGGTGACGGCAGGGTACTTTTCATTTTTGTTTTTCATGTCCTCACTTGAAAAAGCTCTCTCCCAGGCCGTGGAACCCCAGAGCGCGTGAGGCTCAGCAGCACTCACAAGCCACAGGGGGCAGCGCCGACATGGTCGGCCAGTGGTTAACCAGCTTCCAGCATCAGCCCCCAGCTGGACTAGCCAGCTATCCTGGAAACACCCTTCTCCTTTCTGGGCACTTGTGGTGTCCCGGAAGAGAGATGGTGTCCGAACAAAACCACCACCAGTCAGCCGACTCAAAGCACGCACCCGCGGAGGGAGGCCTGGCAGGTTGGCCACATGCCCGCGGTTGGCCAGTGGCGCTCTGGGGCACAAGACATTCCTGGCACTTGGTGAGGGTTTAATCAATAAGTCAGTTCATGCACAGTCATCGGGAAGGAGAAGAAATTGTATGATGGGAATTCTGCTTCTGAAAATGGGGGGTACACTCACTGTTCCCTGTTCCTCCTGCTCTGTACAGTGAGAAACCTTGGACACTATATGGGAGGCAAACATAAGGAGGCTCAGAAAGGTGGAGAGAAGAAGCAGACTAGCTCGGACCCAAGAGACAACCGCAGAGTCCCCCCTTGTGCCTCACACGCCCTCAGTGGAGTACGGGGGAAAGCCAAAGCCTGGATGAGCCCACGGGCACAGACAGGAAAGCCTCCTCTCCCCAGCAGGAAAGGGGAGCCTCACCAGGCAGAAAACTTACAGAAAATAACGGCTCCACCTCGGGCAGACCCTGCAGAACGGAGCATGGCCCCATCCCTGCCAGCGAGGACTGAGTGTGGAGCCCAGCCCCCACCCCCACCAGGCCCTAGCAAGACGCCCTGCCCCCTCCTTGCTGGGGGAGAGGGGTGGTCAGAGGAGGCCTGGGGGAGGGTAAGGTCTTTACTGTCCAGGGGTAATGAGGCCACACAAATAAAATGGAAGACTTAAAACCTAATATACCAAAAATTACATTAAATATAAATGATCTAAACAAACCACCTGGAAGACAGAAACCGGTAAAGTAGATTAAAGAAACATGACCAATTGTGTTGATTTTCACGTAGTGAGATAGGAGACAGAAGTAGAAGGATGGAAAAAGAGATACCACTGCAACATTGACCAGTGAAAGTGGGAGTGGGTCCATAGTATCGAACAAAGCAGATGTCAGAGAACAGACATGGGTGTCACACAGTGACCCTAAGGGCCAATCCACCGAGGACACAGCAACCCTAAACGCACATACACCCAACAAGTGACAAAACTGGAGGGTAGGCCAGACCCACGGGCACAGTGGGCCTTCAACACCCTTCCCTCAGCGATGAGCAAGCAGCTGGACAGAGAGCTAGCAGGGGTGCAGGGGAGCTCACCCTGCCACCCCACACGGGCTGACGGCCTGTACACGACACCCTGCCTGGCAGCAGCACACGCACTCTCTTCCCAGGCCCATAGCACAGATGCGAAGACACTCCCCGGGCCACGCGGCCAACCTGGACACACAAGAAATCAAACTACACGGGGTGTGTTTTGTGGCCACAATGAGTCAGACTATAAGTCAGCAACGAAAACAACATGAAAATCTTTAAACTCTCAGACTTAACGACACAATTCCAAATAATCATGGGCCAAAGGGTCTTCAGGGAATTAGCACATCAAAAAAGTATAACATCAAACTTCGCAGGATACAGCTGGACCAGGGCTGGGTGGAAGGAGCCCCTGGTATGGGCCACCCTGGAAGGCTCCCAGGGCAGGACGCTGAGTGGAAAATGCCAATCTCAAGAACTCACATACTGTGTAATTCCATGTACAGAACATCATCAGGATGCCAAAATTATAGAGATGGGGAGAAACGTCAGTGGTCACCAGGAGTTAGGAATGGTGAGCGGGGAGGGAGACAGGTGTGACTACAAAGGGGCAGCTTGAGGGACAGCCTGGGGGTAGCATGTATGTTGACCAAGGTGGCAGGTACATGACTATACACATGTGGCAACATGGCACGGAACAGGACATGCACACGGCACCCGTGTCCACGTCCTAGTTTTGATACTGTGCTGACAGGTGGGGGAGATTGGTGCAGGGGACTGTCTGTGCTACCTCTGCCACTGCCTGGGATGGTCTACACCCCGGGACCCTGGCTGAGTGCCGGGTTCCCTGGCTCCCTGGGACGGTCTACACCCCTGGACCCTGGCTGAGGGCCGCGCTCCCTGGGACGGTCTACACCCCCAGCCCCTGGCTGAGTGCCAGCCTCCCTGGCTCCCTGGGACGGTCTACACCCCTGGACCCTGGCTGAGGGCCGGGCTCCCTGGGACGGTCTACAGCCCGGGATCTTGGCTGAGTGCTGGGCGTGGTGTGGAATACTCGCACAGGTACTTTGCTGAACTTTTCGTAGCTACCCTGTGAAACTGTACCTTTATGGTCCCCATTTTTCAACAGGAAACTGAGGCAAAATTTGCCATAGAAAAACGACTCTGATGCTCAAGATCCCAGAGCCACAGAGTCATGGAAGTGAAATTCTCTTCTCTCTGCATTTAGAAGCCTAGGCTGATTTTTTCCAGATGCCTGTGATGGTAAGTTTGAATAAAGTCAGTATAATTTTACCCAGGGACCCACTTCTAGCCCTAAGAAGATCCAAGAGTGCTACTGTAGTGATGATGCAGAGTTCAAAAGAAGGGTTCTCCCCACCATACCGCTGATAAGCAGTTGTCCAACATTTGCTTACGATTTCTGAGGACGAGGGAGTGTCGGGGCACGGGCGGCACCTTCACTGCTGGGCCGCTCCCATGGCAGCACAGTCTCTTGGTTCTACCTGAAATCCGAGCATCCGGTCTGGCCCGACACAGAAGGACTGTGTCTCATACACAGCGGCCCAGACCAGCCTGCTCCTTGCAGGCTCCTCACTATATAGCCGTGCCCTGGGGGTGCTGGCTACCCACACCCTGTTTAACCTCTGGTGCCCAGACGGGCCGTGGTCCCCCTGATATGGCTCGGCTGGAGGGGACAGTGGGGCTAGGAAGAGACGAAGGTTATGGAAGGGAGTGATCCCTGGCCTCTTCTCTAGGGGCACGAGAGTGTGTAAGGGCGGGAAAGAACAGTGTGGCCGTCGTGGTTATGGTGAGGGTGACGCGGATGATGGTGATTCATCTCAGTGCAGTTCGCACTTCAGGGACTGGGAGATGGCACAGGGCAAGTAAAAGCAGCCTTGGTCTTGGGAGGCAGATGGCCTTGGTGGAAGTCTTCATTCTGCTACTGGTTGACCTTGGACAGACTACTACCTTGTCTGAGTCTCAAGGTCATCACCGGCTAACTGCGTGCGCTCCCTCACAGACTCCTGTAGAGATCCGTCGAGTGAGGGCACGTGGAACGTCCGGGTCACACAGAAGAGACACACACATGGGAGGCTCCTGATAACAACGACACCAGTGACCTTACCCGACGCCAAATCTCTGTGCGGAGGGACTGTGAGGTCAAGCCCGTGTTTCCCCTGACTCCCTGCCATGCTGCGGGAGCAGAGCAGAGATGGCACTGACACACGGGGGAGGCTTCTCCCGCAGCTGGTGTGAGGTGGGCCACCCCACTTCCAAGGCACCGGGCCCGGCTTCGAACTCGGGCGTCCCTTCGAAGCTCATGTTCTTTCCGCGCAGACACATCAGCACCGACCCTGACTCTCCCAGCTGTCCTTGCAGAAGGCTCTCGCTATCCAAAACCAGCAAGGGACAGACAGAAACATTACCTTCTTCAGCTCAATGATCTCGTCATACATGTCTTCCTTCTCTCTGTAGACCAGGGTCCCGGGAACATGACCTGGAGGGCAACACGCAAACGTCTGAAAAGATCATCTCAACAGCAGAGAGAATTCTTGGCTGTACCTTAAGGAAAACCTGGAAGTTGATAAAATTACCCTTTTTAAAAAAAGGAGGATTAAAAAAAAGCAGGAAAAATACTTCAACATTTTTAGCCTGACCACAATACTTCCCCCAAATTAAGGAGACCAAAACTGATAGCAATACAGAAAGATAAAGCGGGAGGAAACGGAAAGGTGTGAACACAGGGCTTACTTGCAGGAAAAGGAAAGAAGGGGTCAAAAGGAGAAGTGGTATGTTCAGATTTTAAAGAACAGACAAAACAAAAAGACAAAGAAACACTACCCCTCCCCATGTCCAAACAGTGAAGCATACTCTGGTTTCAGCGTGATACCCAATATATTGAGACTCTAAAACATTCAAGCCTAAAGGAGAACTCGGAGCCAGCCAACACAGGAAGGGGGTCAGCTCGGGGTCGCAGCGACAAGGGCCCGCTGAGCTCCCGGTGGAGGTCTGCAAAGACAGCAGGAAGAGCCAGGCAGGAAACGTGGATGAAGACCAGGCAGGAAGACAGACACAGGCAACAGAGCCAGCTTTTCTGGTGAGACGTGGGCTTTTCCTCATTGGCAATTGTTATTTCTAAGATTGTGTCTCCAATAGATTTCAGTACGACTCCGAGTTTAGGGAGGTGGGCCCCATGGGAGCCTGGGAAGATGCCACTGTCCACATTAGGAAAGCTACTTTCTAGAAGGGCAGAGTGGACCTGCAGGACCCCTGTCCTCTCTCCATGACCTCGTAGGGACGGAGCCAGCACAGGAAGCCCCAATCTCACTGAGTCAAAGCAAATCCCACACTCTCCCTCCTGCTTTCCCTTACGTGTGGCCTTGTCACCATCACCATGCTCACCATTGCTGGCAGAACGCCTGAGATGTGACCTCCTCATTCTTAAAGCTTCTGTCAGATAGTCAGGCGTGCTGCTGGGGGGGTTGGTCCGTGCATGCTCCAAGGTCAGGTCTGACTTCAGGGGTTGGGTCAGACTTCCTGGTTTGAACGTGCATGGATTTAACACGACAGGTACACACAAACACAATGGGAGGTTTTGCCTCTAATAATCAATCTTCCTGGGCGGAAGAAAGCTTAAGTCAACCAGCAGATAGCGGCAATCAGTGCTTTGCTGATAAATGTTCAATAAGCAGCTCTCAAGAGACAAAGGAAGCCCAGATTTGTAGCATCTGCCTATTTCCCTGGTATGAATATTCCCACCACGTCCAATTTCAAGCTGTCAGTGTGCCATCGACCAGCTCACAAAATTCCTAGAAATGGAACCATTGGCTCATGCAAGCCGGTAGGAGTTGTCTCCAACATGCTGGGCCAGCCGTGCTGAGACATCCTAAGACTCAAAGGGACACGGTGTCACACACGCAAACCGTCAGAAACTACACTGCACATCACGGAAAGGTTACGAGGCTCGACGTCTTTGAGAAGATTAAAAACAATGTCATTCAAACAAGTCATATCACAAACTCTATCTTAAATCACCACCCGCAATTCCTAAAACTCTCCTGTGGAGCAGGAAAGGTCTCTGTCGGAGCAACCACGTACCTTGCTTTGAGCTTCCCAGCCACAGCTTCTGTGGGGTTAAGGACATTCTGTTACCAAGAGGCATGCTTGCTACTGTCCTCAAAGATCTCCAGTACGCCACTTTTCTCGGCTTAGAGTAATAAGGTGACTCTAGAAAGTCAACATACAGTTTCAGAGGTGCAAGAGATCAATGCCCCCTCAACATAAGTGTCTTAGAGAGACAAAAACAGTACCATAGAATATTCACAAGACTATTGTGACAAAAGTAAAAAACACAGTCATGATATGTATATATACTTACACTTTTAAAAAAATTTTGTTATAAAGACACAACATAATGGGAAACTTATCTAAAAATGCAAATCCATAATTCCACCAATATTTGACGTTTTACAACGCGTGTGTAGCTCGACACTGTCGCGGTTATAGTCAACACAATTTTGTGTCCTTTATACTCGACACTGTAAAAAAACTTTTCATTTTGCTACACAGTGACATAAGCAATATCAAGAACTTAATATATTAAAAAATCTAGAAGAAATGAGAAAAAAATTACCTTTCCAGGACATTTTTGATTTTGTTATCAAAACAAGGGAAATATTTTAAAGTCCTTTTTTAATCTGGAATTTCATCTTTTTAATTATGGAAGATATAGCAAATTTATGTGAAAACTTACTCATAAAACATGCTGATAATTAGCAAAGAAATGTCTGTCTAGAGCAGGTCCTAAAACCCTAAGTCTAATATATTTAATTTTTTAAAAAATTTCTATGTTTTTTCCAGGGCTTCAAATTTTACGAGAAATGTCCCATTATTATTTAGAACAGGAGAATGAAGACTCACTAGACCCAGACGCATTTTTGCTCACCGGGACAGCTGAAGGCCTTCCAAACTTTGTCCATTTAAGTGCTCACTTATAAAGTAAATTAGCAATCAGGGAAACAGCTCCCCAAGTAACATTTGCCTCCTAAATGTATGTGATTCATCAATGAATAGTAAGAATTCCTCAGGAAACGTGCACACACACAGACCAAAGCAGGAAAGGCAGAAGGAAACGGGCCGGGAAGCACGCTGGTGAGTAGGGCAGCAAGCACTCAGCCCCCGCGCTCTGGAAGCTACCAACCCACGTGGAGCTGGCTTAGGCATTATAGAGCCACGCTTGTGACGTGAACAGGACACGCAGTCACTGCTGTCATGGCCCAGGAATCCAGACAGAAGCACAGCTCAACACATGCTCCAAAAGCCGTGAGGGAAGGGGGCCTCGGAGCTGAGACCTGGCCAGCCAGAGTGAGAGGCAATGCCAGCCCAGGCAGAGAAGCACGAGAGCGCGGGGGACAGGACACGCAGGTCAGCGGGGAGCAGGGCACCCATGATCAGTGCCAGTGCAAGACGAGACTCCCCGCCAGGCTGCCGGGAGAAAGCGCGGGGAGATGCGGGGCCGCTGAGGTTCAGCAGCCCCCTCAAGTTGTGATTTGGGGGTTCTCACCGTTGTAACTTACACGAAACACAATTCAGATGTTTACAGAAATCAAGATTAAAACGATTTGATTATTACTGTTTTAAACACTCGAAATGCTGACTTTCAGTAAGAATAACGAAAGACGTTGTGATATTTACCTTCGGCACCTTGTAGCCACGAAGGACTTAAAACAAAATGGTTCTAAAACTAGAAGGTTTAAAACACAAACACCACACTTTTACATCAATTCTCAGTTTCCTCCATGGAAGGAGAGCAAGGACATCAAAAATCCAAACTGATAGATGCTTTCTCTCTAATGTTTATATTTCTTTGTAACAGAAAACACTCTTTCCTTGGCAGGAATTATCTTTCTAATTATGTTTTCCTTGGGCTAATATGAAAGTCCGTTAGTATTCTCTGAGTGCGTCATACACATGACACGGTGTGTTTGAAATGTACACGCATGTAAGGAACATAGATACACGTGTAATAAAGTCAGGGATGGCCTCAGGTTTTTGGCGAGCAAAAGGAAGCCAATCCAGGATTTAAACTTTGCCATAAAGACATTCCTAAGCATAAAATTCACATGTGGCTCACCATGCTCTAGAGCAATGTCAGAATGGTGGAGAATGATAGGCTGGCTGGCTGTCTAAACAGACCCCATGCACCAGACTGAACGTTTGTGCCCCCCACAAGTCTTATGCTGAAACCTAACCCCTACTGTGATCGCATGACGGGGTGAGGCCTGCAGGAGATGGTTAGCTCATGACGGGCGAGGGCCTTCATGATGGGATTAGTGCCCCCATAAAAGGGACCCCACAGAGCTCCCTCATCCCCTCCCCCATGGGAGATACCATCCAGCAGTGGCTGTCTGCAACACAGTCACCAGAACCCGACCAAGTTGGCACCCTAGTCTTGGACTTCCGGCCTCGAGGACTGTGAGAAGTAACTATCTGTTGTTCAGAAGGCGCCCAGCTCAGCTCAGCTCAGCCGCCCGGGCAGAAGAGGACCCACCCCTGCAGCCTCGTGCCCGAAGGGCAGCCGCCTGCTTGTCTATGGCCAAGGATGGTGTCTCCCGGACAGAGCTGCCACCCCTGCTGAGAACAGGGAGCACAGAAGCACCTGGTGGATGCAGCCAGGGTGAGTCCACAGGAAACCACGACACCTGCTCAGTGTGCCGACAGCAGCTCTGACTCAGGAGGGGATGAGGTCCTCTGGCTGCGGCAGCGTTCCCAAGACACAAGCGGGTTCAAAGGGCGGGGAACGAGCACAAGTGGCCAGAAACACGGCATCTGCTGGGGGCTCAAGGGACAGTGACTCAGGAGCCTCAGCCCCTCGAGGGCCTCCTTAAACGGGGACCACTGGGGCCACAGGGTAAGGTGGGGACCCCAAGAGCGCCAGCTCGCAAGACCCTAACACAAAACGGAGCCTAGCGGTGGAAGTGTTGCATTGCAATGACCCCAAGCGTTTGAGGAAGACATTCGTGATCTTTCTCCCAAGACGCCAGGGAAGGACAGCTTCTGAGAACCATTTTCTGTGTTAAACTGCAGAAATCTGAGAGTTGAGGGGCCTGGTCATACTTACTCGGTGATGTGGGTGGATGTTGGTGGAAACTTTTCCTTTTTGCTTTCTGAAAGAAAGATAAATGAGGTAAAGCACACTGAGCCTTCCGGAGCAGCCCAGCGGCCCCAGTGGTGAAGCATGGGTGTGTTCGGGATGGCTCGGAGCAGGGGCAAGGGCAGTGAGGAGATTACCTCAGCAGAGACCTGAGCGCAGTTTGAGCCAAGGAAAAAGCCCATGGCACAGTGGGGCGACCCCAGGAAAGGTGATCGGTGCCGCGTCCTGGCTGAGCCAGGTCCCTGGAAGCCCTGGCGACACTACATAAGCGCAGACTGACGATACCCCACAAATGGTGTATCTTCGACCACCCCACTGTCCTCATGCCAGGACCTGGAGCACCAGGCTGTGCCCTTCCACAACGGCGGATTTGGGAAGAAGAAACCCTTGTGAATAAGGCGACTGCAAATCCCCCTGCGGAGGGAAGGTGCAGCAGAGGAATGACCCTGTCGTAATCCCGTCTCCGGGGACAACCCAGATGCCAGTGAGTTCTCCTACCCACTACTTATATGCCCGGGGAAATGACACGTCTTCCACGCCTGTGTTCCTCAACTGCTTCCCACTAGACAGAGAATGCCCCTCACTTCTCTTTCAGTGGAAACAAGGAGTTCTATGCTGTGCATTTTACCCAGCAGACAGGCTGGATCCCTACTTCAGGGAGCATCTTGGGCCCCTGTCCTCAGTGGTGTTGAGGGGGGCATCCCTCACGCTGCAGGGGTCCCTCATGGCAGACAAGGGGCCCGAGAGGCTCCCCTGAGTGCACAGAGCTGTGGTGGAATGGGGATCTGCTGGTGCCACGTGCCCTCAGGGCTCTGTATTGAGGTCCCTCGATAACTCTGCCTGCTGGAGACATGCTCCCTGGGCTCGTCTTTCACCATGTGGCTGGAAGGCTTCATTCTCTACCCAGCACAGCTTCCCGCGTGAACACAGAGAGGCCAAGCTGGGGGCTAGTTTGCCTGGGGACTGTGCTGTCCACTCTCCCTTCAAGCGAGCTCCTGCATCCCAGGGACCCCGGGGGCCATGAGGCCAGGACATCATGCAGTGCCAGGGCTGCGGCTGCCAAAGGGTCTCCTATCTCCTCCCGGAGCCCTCTCCTTCCCCTCACGTGTCGGGACTGGGGGTCAGGGGGGCCGGAGGGTTGTAGCCAAAACCAGACCCAGGATAGGAGCTTACCATCTGCCTCAAATATACTCTACTCAGGACTAACACCTGGATACAAGTCTTAAAATTGTAACCACAGTTGTTTACAACCAATGAAGGGCTCAAAACTCTTCAGGTGCTGAGTAGCACGTGGAGTTTATATTCAGTTCTAAACTCAACACTTGTGGGGAATGACCTGGTGCATGTGTTTCAGTAACATGAGCAAGGGCAAAGGCACCAGGGCGGGGATGAGCGGCTGCCCCCCGACCACACTCACCGTCTCAAAGTCAGAGTCAAAGGTAATTGCAGATAGACCGTCATCTCCCTGGAAGAAGAGATGCAAACACTGAAATTTTAGGGCACCTGCTTGGCTCCCCACGGTTACACACACAAGGTGGAAAGAGCCACAACTACGGAGGCAGAGACTCAAGAAACCCAGTCCAAGTAAGCAGGTGGCGCCAGATGGCTCAGCCCAGCAGAACGGAGGGGTGGGGGACACAGCAGAATCTCTGCCTGCAGGGCTGCTCCACGTCTGTCCACCTAGCGACACCATTTGCACGGAATCGCTGGGTACTGTTGCTAAAGAAACAGTTCAGGTTAAGAGGACTTCGTATTCCACGTGGTTTAAGTGTGCTCATTCACCTTCACATCAAAGCACGAGGAGTCTGTGGATCCTGATCAGAACAAGTTGAAGTTATTTCTAAAAAAAAAAACACTCTCATTAATACATGCATTATTTGGACTCATAAAGTTCCTGCCCTGGCCCTGCGGGTAGGGGATAAAATCTGTACACCTAATTCCAGAACTAGGATGTCGTTTCTCAAGAGAAGAGTGTTTCCATGTAATTCACCGACTCGGGTTTAAATCCTAAGAAAAGAGAAAGGAGGAACAAAATGTAAATCCTTTCAGACTGTTGTGTTGCTGATTTACGAAGCAGCTGCTGGGAGTTAGGACCGCACGGCCCTCCTGTGAACCGACGATCTGTGCCGGGCTGCGGGGGTCAGCGTACTTCAAGCCGTCCATGCTGTGGTGGAACCCACTTCCTATCCCAGCAGGACTTTTTTTTTTTTTAAAGATTTTATTTATTTATTTGAGAGAGAGAATGAGAGAGAGAGAGCGCACACGAGGGGGGGAGGGTCAGAGGGAGAGGCAGACTCCCTGCTGAGCAGGGAGCCGATGCGGGACTCGATCCTGGGACTCCAGATCATGACCCGAGCCGAAGGGAGTCGCTTTACCAACTGAGCCACGCAGGCGCCCTCCCAGCAGGACTTTGTGGCCTTCTGAAAAGCACACAGATCCTCTGCAGGGCTGAGGATCAGCACTTAAACAACAATGCTGCTAGCAGCTTGAAGGTCCGCTGGAAACAGGGGCAGCATCCCGTGCCAGCTCTCCGAAACACAGAGTCTGGACTAAGGGTGCGGCGTGACATGGGGCCGGAAAAGGAAGCGTGCTCCAATAAGCAGGATCTTTTACCAGCCACGGACTTAGGTTTTCGATGTCCCTGAACAGGTGACGTTTTCAGGGGTAAATAGCACATGCCGATTAGAGAGAGTTTTCCCTGAGCAAAGTGTATGAAATACAACGTGCAACATTTAGGAAGGGAAGGCAGGGGAAGGCAAGACCAGAGGAGCAACTGTGGTGACCGCGTCCGGGTGCCCTGGCATTGCAAAGGACGCACCTGCCAACGGCCGGTGTGAACCTGCTGGAAACTACAGAGGAGCAGCAAAAGGTTTCTCTTGTGGACACTCGTCATTATTACTTGTACCGAATAAAACCCTGAAGACTGTGTGATGACCTGAAGGCTCAACGAGGGAATGATGTTATGTGTATGGTGTATAAAACCAAGTGACCTCCCTCTTCAACAGGTGTGCTCACCCACCACGCCTTCTCCCCAGTCAGTCCACCCCCACGGGTCACCACCTGCGCCCTGCCAGCCATGTCTGGAACCGCGGAGCCGCCACGGACCCGCCCCTTCAGTTGGCAGGAGAGAGACCACAGACTGTTAAAAACAGCGAACACGCTGATGGCCAGTTCCCTGAGCACGATCCGTGCCGCCACAGGCTGGCGGGCTACACTGCCCCCGACTGTTGTGAGGCGGGAACCCAGGGGCTGCAGGCAGGCAGGCGGGCGGGCGGGCAGGCAGAGAGTCCCGCGGAGGCCTGGAGCAGCCTCAGGCCTGCGTGCCAGCTGTGTGACGTGCGTCACGCCATCGACCCTCTCCATTTCAGCTTCCTGGACCACAGAGGACCCGTTCCTCTACCAGATTTTTAAAAGCACCGGAAGTCTACATATAGTGGGGGAGAAGACATGGCGTGTCTATATGAGATGCAGGGGCCTATGGGGACTCAGTACAAGGTGACAGTGGGGAAGGGTTGCACTATCTGGGAGCCGTCTTCCCGAATGGTGGGGTGAGGAGCTCAGGCAACCGTCTCTTCAACAACCATTGAACACAGAAAGTTACAAAACAATTGTTTGAGGTTTCTGGAAATTGACCTAAAGGCATACAACAATAGAGGCATACAACAATTCATTCAAGAAAATCTACTAAATGTGGGGAAGGATAGTGGGAGTCTGGGGTACCCCTCGCCCCCCAAACTCCCTCCCACAGAAACTAGTTCAGAGAGACCTGCTCTAGGTGGGTGCAGGCAGGATGGTGGGGAATGGTGGGGGGGGGGTTCTGAGAAGTAGGGTGTAAGCTCTGCCTCAGATGTAGCAGGCTAGGAAATCTGGGTCCCGGACGCCCTGACGCTGGTTTGCTTGTAGGGCAGAGGTTCCACGCAGGGAAGGTCAGGCCCAGAAGGCCAGCGCCCCCTCCTGGAGTAGGGGTGTCACTCCAGGAGAGACACACGTCCATCCCTGAGGCACAGAGGTCCTTCCCAGAGGAAGAGGCAGGCCCACAGTTGAGCCCGAGGGGACTGGCTTTATTTGTAGCAGGTAGTGGACCATCCCCATGCCTCCCTGATTCCAGTGCCAAGTTGAAGACCACGGTGACGTGGTGGGGAGCAATTATAAAGCCCTCCCGGCTCTGCGATCATCGCAGCAGAAAGCTAACCAGCAGAGCAAGAGGAACTGTAACAGGCCCAGGAGAGCCTTCCTGGGGTCACGGTCAAGTCCGAGGCTCAGGGAGGCTGCCTGCAAGCATCAGACTGCACCCACCAGGCGCAGGCTCAGGGTGGACTTGGAAACATTCTCTACACCGGACCTAGATCAACCAAGGGGCACAAGCTCACGGGCGCTAGGGGCCTTAGCACAACCTTGAACCAAACAATGGTTCAACAAGAAACTCCGATGCAAGAGCAGCTCCCAGGAAGCCAGGCTTAAAGGTAAAATCACACATCCCTGAAGTCTGGGGGGCCACATGCGCGGCTCAGCTGCCCTCTCAGGGGACATGGAGAGGAGAGACCCAAGCTGCTAGTCCTTGGCTGCGGGTGGGCAAAACCGTAAACTCCTGCCGTGTGACTGCAGCCTCCAGGCCACACACCACAGACACACACGTGCATGCACACACACACCACACATGCACGCGCACACAGGCACACACTGCACATGCACGCACACCACAGATGCTCACGTGTGTGCGCGCACACATGCAGGCACACACCACACATGCACACGCGCGTGCACATACACACGCAGGCACACACGCACTCACGCCACGGATGCATTGTGCATGCACACACACCAAACTCGCACATACACATACACGCAGTGGTAAAGGGCAAAGATCTGACAGGCCAAGGGGCTTACCTATAACCTTTGAGCAGAAAGTGGCTTCTGCTGACCCAAGGGTGACCCTGAGGTAGTTAGGCTAGAAGATGCAAACAAGAAAGAATCTGAGCAGGGAATCAGAGGCTGCACAGTGTAGGGAGATCAACTGCAGGGTCAGTCAAGTCACTCAGCAAAGAGATGAACCACCAAGCAAACCGCATCAGTCCCATGGGGAGGAGGGATCAATACCCAGAGTTGCTGTAACATTCTAGTAACATTTAGTTACTAGATGTATTTAGTTACATGCTGTAACATTTAGTCTAGCTTCCAGCAGGAAACTAAGAGACACAGAGAGAAACAGGGAAGTGTGAGTGATAGAAGGGGGAAAAGCAGAAACAGAAGCTTTTGAAGGGGCCCGGATGATGGACTTAGCAGACAAAAGTCTTCAGAGCAGCCGTCATAAATACGTTCAAGGCGTGCTGCTGTGAGGCTGCAGGAGGGTCGGGAGGCAGGAGGGCACGGGGTTCGTACAAGAGGTTGGGGGGGTCAGGGGGCCACCTGAGTAGTAAAGCACGTGACACAGAACGTTACACGTAGTGAATGCCTAATAAATGCTCTTACTGTCTTATTCTAGAATCTCTGAGCCCTTTCACAAGTGTTGACTCTTAAATCACTGGTGGTTCCACTCAGGCTCCAGGTCACCCCTGTGGCTCTGTATACAGCCACGTAGCCCCACTCAGTCTCCATGGATACAGCCACTGCGCGGTGAGCCCCCTGGCACAGAGTAAGAGCTCTGGGAAGTTCACCAGCCAGCCCGGAGGCAGCTGCAGTCCACTTGGGGGAACGGACAGACTGCACAGTGCCTGCTCTCAGGAGGTTCTTATCTAATTTCAAACAGATCCAAGCTCAGCAGAAAGCCACAGGTTAGCCTGGACCAAGGGCGGACAGTCTCCTAAGTGCTGAGAGAGCTTCACACCAGTTCCTCCATGACGGAGTTCCTTGAGACCAAGGCACTGGGGCTCACCTGGTTTTGTGTCCTCAGAGCCTCACATGGAAAGGCCTTAACAAATGCTAAGTGTGTAAGAATATTTACAGCCACACTGTTCCTAGTAGAGAAAAAGTGCCAACGAGAGAGGGAAAGCAGGGAAGCGGATAAAGTAGGGGTAGCCACAGCTCAGACTTTTTAAATCATGCTCTTGAAAACGTGTGGCTGTGGGGAAAATGTTAACAACAAATTAAATGGTAAAGGTCACAAAACAATTTAAATATGATCTTAATTTTTTTTAAGCGCTGTGTGGGAAGAGATGCATTGAGAAAAGATCGAAAAGAAATACACCGAACATTAACGTGATCTTATTGGATCACGTGTGGTTAGATCACGGGTAAACTGACTTTCTACATTTTCTCTAGTGCTCACGATTTTCACAATCACGACCTAAGAAGTCACTTTCTAAAGGTGAAGGAGCAGTGAGTGAATCCCGGGTAGGTGGGCCAGGCTTCCAGGTGAGGCAGGACTTGGTGCCCTGAGGGACGCTCTGCACTGGTTGAGCTCTGTGTAGCCCTGCCCAGCACAGCCTTCTCCGTGAGAAGGAAGCAAAGTAAGCAAAATGCCCTCTGTCTGGAACCCTCCAAAAGCTTCTCACGGTCCGGGAAATAAAGTCCAAACTCCCTGTATGGCCTGAGAGGCTGTCCACTGTCAGGCCCGCTCCTACCTTCCCCCACGAGGTCCCAGCAAGCTTTCTTTCAGGCCCTGGAACACATCCCACCTTCCCACCCCAGGACCTTAGTGCTTGCTGGCCCCCTCTGCACTCAGACCTCCTTCTGGTCAGGGGCATCCAGGGCGTCTTGGGCACCTGGCCAGGCACGCAGCCTAAAGCAGTCCTCTGCAACCCATCGCGGCCACATGGGCCTGTTTCACGTTCTGCACAGGCCATGTTAGTGCGGTTTACTGCCTCGTTCTCCACCGCCCCCCCCCGGAATGCCGCTCATTAATCCACGTTGACACCTCCAGCGAAGAGCAGGGGCGCCCAAAACACTCGGAAAAGGCACGAGCTGACAGCACGCTCGCCCTCACCCAAGGGAGGAAGCTTGGAGGCACCTCCTCCGGGAAGTCTTTTCCAACCGGCGCTGGGCAGGGCGCTGTTCCCGGGGGCCGGGGGCCCGGGGCTTCCCCACCCCCCACCCCCCGCACATCCGGATGGCTCGGGCCGGCCGCCCCGGCCGCTGCCCCCCGCCCCAGAGGCACGGGTGGGCTGGCACTTACAGAGTGGGCTCCGTTGCCCTGCGGACCGCGGTCGCAGGCTCGGCACAGGCCGGGGCCTCGCAGGCGCCGCGCGGCGAGGGCGCAGCGTCCGGGAGGGCTTCCTGGAAACGGCGGCCTGTGCAAGGGCGGGCGGGGTCCAGGGGCGGCTGAAGGCCGGGTGGGGGGCGGAGACGCCCGGCCGGCTGCACGCGGGCGGGGGCCCGAGGGCCGCTCTTATGCGGTAACAATAATGGTTGCTGTCACCCGGCGGCCGCCGGCCGTGCGCCCCTTCCTCCGGCCCGCGCCCGGCCCCGAGAGCCGGAGAGTTGGAGGGAACGAGGAGGCCCCCCGCGCTTACCGTCTCCGAGGCCGGCTCCGCGGTGCCCAGCGACATGGCGGCTGCGCTGCCCGGCCGCTCCTCGGCGCTGCGGGCGCGGCTGTCGGGCTGTGCGGCTCCGCCGGCAGCCCGGCCGCGCGTAGCCTCCGGGCCTGCCAGCCCGCGCGCCAGCCGCGACCTCGCTGCCATGGTAACCGCGCCGCCTGCGGAGCCCCGGATGTGGCCGGCGCCGGCGAGTCCGGCCGACCGTGCGCGTGCGCTGAGAAACCCGCGGGCCGACCCGCAGAGCGCCGGGAGGTGGCGGAGAGCCGGGCGGTGCTGGAAGTTGTGGGTCGCGCTTAACGGTTCTGGAGTCTGTCCCCCGCCTTCTCTCGTGGAGGCTCCTCGATAAGCCTGTGCGTTAGTCACCAGAGCAGGATGCTAGTATTTGTTAGGTTAACGCTGAAAGGGACAAGGGGCTTGTGCAATGTCCCAGGCTGCTCGTTCTGGACACCTGGCATTCAGAAAGTTATCCTCCCGGATAACTTAGGCTCTTGGGTTCTGATGTAGCCCCAGAACAACAAAAAATAATGAGTTTGCACTGCACTCAGTGTGCATCATGAAGATCTTTAGGGGCACTGGACTCCAAAGCTTAAATTATTATTAGCAAGTAGGATGTGCTCTTGCTCCTTCATACAGGTCTCCAAGGGCACCTACTCTGTCCCCTCACCCTGGTTTTTTTTTTTTTACCCCAGCCACGCGACATTATCCACAAAAGCATTCCATGTCTAGAATGTAAGCTCTCTGGGGCAGGGGCTTTGTTTAGTTCACAGCCGTACCTCCATCCCTTGGAAGGGTCTGGCTCAGGCAGGTGCTCAATTAATATATATTTGGCGTCCAAGGAGTCATGTAACTTCTCTGTGCCACTGTTTCCTCAAATACAAAGTGGAGAAAAGT